ACCCCCATGAGGACGAGCGCTTCAGCTTTGGCCTCCTCCGTCTGCGGCAGGTGAAGATTCATCTCGTCTCCGTCAAAATCAGCGTTATACGGCGTACACACACACTCATTAAAGCGAAATGTCCGATGAGGTTTCACACGCGCCTGGAGCAGAAAACACAACAAATTACAGCAATAAATTCCTCTGAAATGCATCGTTATTCTATAAAGATATCATAGATGTATACATTAGATAACACATACAGGCCCTGAGCATGCATCAATACCGCCGCCATAGTTGTCAGGGCTCCCAGCATAAAAGTAATTTAACTGCACTAAGATAAGACCAAAGTCAATCTGAATATGCTCGACTTTAGCGCTGCTTACAAGTGTAGTAACGAGAAAACAATGCATAAAGGCAGAACATTCATAGTTAGGATTTAGTTTACACTTTTGTATGTTATGAAATTGTGTGCTCAACAAGAAACATTTATGATAATACAGTCACCAAGTGCACTGAACATAAGGCAAAGCAGTACACACATGCTCTAAATATTCGGCTTTTGCTAGTATTGATGAAGAAAACCAGTGAAAATGTGAATGAAATATGACATGCCAGAAACTTGTATTATTGTTAGCTAAGTGAACGTTAGCCTTTGAAGTAACTTATAAGGGTGCCTAATAACACAGGGCTCAAAATTATATGCGCCCAAAATTTGACCTATGTGACCTTAAAATATATTTGGGAGCATTTGTGGGAGTGCAAAAAATTGTTGTGTGCGACCAGTTTTTACTGCAAAATGTTCACCACATGCGCGGATTTGGGAGACATTCACACAGAATGCATCTCTAAGCTCTTTGTCTGCACTTAAAATGCGAATCGCAGCGCTCAGGAATGGTTTAAAACAGTTGTCATGTCGACTTGCTGCAGTAAAAGCCAAGTCTGTAATGCTTGCCCCGCCTTCGCGCTCTTCTTATTGGTCCACCACTCCTCTAACACTGAAATAGAGTGGAGGAACTATGACGTCAATTTGTATGCAAAAACCCGGAAGCGAGTTAGCTTTTTAGCACTTCCGGTTCCCTCGTCCCAAAGTCAATGGGTTTGTTGTATGGGGTTTCAGTAAAATCGCTTAAATAAGGTCCGTGGCCAACACCAACTCAAGATACTTTGACGTTTTGTTCTACGACATAAAACACATCAGTTACAGCACACTCTTGGATTTTAAAATAAGTTATGCTTCTTTAAAAAGACGGTTGCTATCAAGTTGCTAAATGGGACTACAGTCGGTGAAGACATTATACGTCATCGAGCTGATCTGGAGCGCAGCTCGCTTGTGTTGGGCATTTGCATTTGTCTGTTATTTAGTTATTTCCATGAAGAGTATTTTATAGTTTGTTGTGTTTTTCTAAATGGGAATTCAGATTGTGTGCAGATAATTCCTTCACTTGTAAAGGCTGTCGAGACACATTCATTTGTTGATCATTTATTTTAATTAAACGATATTATGAAGATACTGCTCACCAGTGCAGCAGCCTGTCTCTGTCCTGCTCTGTCATGCAAACGTGTGAATAAATGTGTAAAAATACATGCATGTTAACTGTTTTTTTAACGTGATCAAGAGATTTTAGTCGTCTTTAATTTTTATTCATCTGAACACATTTAACTCCGTCATAACTGCAATATTTACACTCTTCCATGAAATGTATAGCAGATGTGACTGTATGGGCTGCTTTTCGCTGTACGTATGAGATAAAAATAATATTGAATGTTGCTCTGTGTCCATGATGATGGAACTTGCAGGCATTTGATTGTTCCTCCTTACGCCTCATTTCGTCTGTTAAGGTAAGCGAGCTGTTTGCACGCGAGTGATACACTTATTTAAATATGTCTTATGATAATACTATATAGGCAGATTTATACACGCAGTTTTATAACTTTTGGAACAACCATAAAGCAAAACAGACGTATTTCCCACGTAAAAATGATTTAAAAGGCATATAGGTCTATGTGTTTTTGTGGATTTATTTGTTTATAATATATAGCGTGGATTACAATATAATAAACCGAGAGATTAACTCTTTATCATGGACAATATTTCTAAAAATAAGCTTGAACAGTTATGTGTAGCAGGGTGGTGCTTACGTCACAGGCGAGCGCCCCGAGGGCTCTGTAGTCCGTTTATAGCCTAATGTTAGCTTTTCAGTTCTTGCGTTTGCATTTAAGATCCAAAAATGTTTAAAGTTGTATTTTCGTGTGAGGATTATCTGGCTGGACAAAACGTGTAAGTGTAATGAACAGTGTTTGAACACAGAGCTTATTGTTTGCAATCTTCGAAAAGCCTATGGGAAAATCCTATAGGGATTTTCACGAGGGAACCAGTTTTATGCTAGCAGCCGATTAGCCTACAAAGTGACGTCATAGTTCCTCCACTCTATATTAGCTGTCAAACACTCAGTCAAAGCCTTCTGGCTTGGGATGACAGGGAGAGCTACTACCGCGAAAAATTGTTGCTTTTAACATGATGTATGCATTTAATAAGGTACAGTATATGTCAAAAGCATCAGTGCAATATCAGACAGCACCCGTGAGAACAGCACAGTTATACCCTTAACAGATTCATTCATGTCCAGCAGTGCGTGCAGGGCCGGTGAGCGGTACGTGTATCTTTGTCACTCAGTTATGTTAAATAAAATCTATTTTCTTGTGATAACGGGATTTCGTTGAGACATATTTTCCTCACGCTTGCATATATATATTTTTTCGCTTGTTAGTTTTATTACTGTTGATTTCAAATGCAATAAATATGTTTGTATAAAACTTGTAGTAACTGTGCTTATAAGTGCGACTAAATTTTAGCTGATGCGCCTACATTTTTAAAGTAAGGAGCACCGGTGCTACTAAGCAAAAAGGTTAAGTTCGAGCCCTGCTGCTGTTGAACTCCTTTCCTCATCATCCCTGTCTGAGGCACAACGAATCGATTATAAAATTCGTTGCCACCGCTTTTAGTAATTAGTAGTATAAGTAGATTTTTATCGATTTTATCAATTCGTTGTTGCAGCCCTACTTGATTTCATGTTGACTTGTTAAATTGTTAGATTACATTCATATACAAATGAGGAGTAACTCACGATATGCGCCATGATGCTGAGTTTGTGCAGAGACGGCTGTCGATTGAACAGAACGATGTCTCCATCAATCATGTGTCTCTCCACCACGTCTCCGAATTTCAGCTCCTGAGCCATTTTCTCTCGATTACCGTACTTTAAAAACCTGAAACACAACACAATCAGACCATAAACAACCACTGAAGGCATGATGCTTGGAGGAAAGGAACTAAAGCATACAAAGCATGCATAATTTAAGAAATATATTATTGTTATTGCATCAATAGTATATATGTTTTATCTGCATCACAGAGAGGTGTGATTAAATTACATTTATTTTTATGTGCCCAAGCATTTGTTTCATGGATTGGTTATTTATCCAAGTTTGAAAAATCAGATGGAGCCATACTATTTTTAGTCCCGCATCCACATGAGGTGCTGTTCTACTATTGGCTAAAGTGATGAAAAAGGGCTGAAAATTAAAGAGCCCATATTATACATGAAATAGGGTCATATTTTGGTTGTAAGGGTCTCCAACAACAGTCTAATGTGCATGCAAGGTCAAAAAACACTTTCATGGTCTTATAATCTGCATTTATTTTTACCTAATTATCCCAGCGACTCCCATATGAATCGTCCAGTGATTCATTTGTCCCAAACCCCTCCTTAGCGCGAAGCTAATCTGCGCTGATTGGACCGATGACAGTCTGCTGTGATTGGTCGACTGCCTTCAGTGAAATGCCCAGCAGCTAATCAGCAATATAGAAGTAGTCACAGTTCATACACGCTCGATAGTGTAGGCGTGGATTTTAGCTGCCAGTGGGTCAATGTAAATACAGTCGATGCACTTAAAAAAATACAGACGACTAACTATTTTATTGAACAAAAACTCCAAAAACTGTCAAGGAGATCTCCTAGCTTGTCTCACTCTGCTCTTTTCACACACACACACACACACACACACACACACACACACACACACACACACACACACACACACACACACACACACACACACACACACACACACACACACACACACACACACACACACACACACATTGCCCTCGTCCTTGCGTGCGCGCACGCACACCCACACGCGTGCACACGCAGACGCACACACACACAACCCTCCTGACGACAATGCGCGCGCACACACAAACACACACACACACACACACACACGCACACACACACACACACACACACACACACACAAATCCAGACGAAAGCGCACGCACACGCGCACACACGCACGCACACATATTACCCTTCTCCACGGAACGTAAACAAAGCAGCACGGGTCGCGTTTTTAACGTGGCTTTGCATGCGATATGAGAATATAACGAGTTAACCTGAGACAGTACACGCGGTTACAAGTAACAAATCACAACTAAATACATTTGCAAGCTCGAGTAAACGAGGCAACAACTTTAATCGCACGTACTTACACTTGAGAAATGGAGGAAGAAACTGATCATGTTCTGACATGTCCATCATTAAGTTACTCTCTACTGATCCTTCCTTTAACAAACGCTGATGAAGTATTCTTTGTAGCATGTAGTTTCCAGAAGTTTCCAGTAGTTTCCAACTGCTTGGTTATAATGCTGAGGTTTCATCTTTGGGTAGAGACTCGATATAATATCCATCTGCAGTGTGACTTCAATCGACCGGCATTTTTGTGTGTGTGTGTTTGTGGGGGTTTCTGTGTCGGAGGGCAGGGCCGCAGGTTTGAAATCTCCCGGGTTTGCGCGTGCACGTGAATAACTTGGTTTCGTTCGTACGTCATGGCGAAACACCTAATGACTCGTTATCAAGACGACTCGTTTGAAGCACTATGAGTCGACTCTTTTATAAATGAATCAACAGGTTTAAACACTGTACTCTTACAGATTTAAGCCTTAGCTGGACACTTCACTTCACTTAGAGCTGTGTTACACACTACATGGAGGGGCATTTTCAAAACCCATAATATGGGCTCTTTAACACCAATGGCTGAAGTCGAAACGAGGGATAAATAATGACAGCCAATCAGAATTTAGGTTTTTAGTCAGAGTTTAAACTCAGACATTAAAAAATATTAATAATTATTTTGGGGTCGTTGGCTTAGAAGTGGTATACATACTTTAAATTATTTATTTATTACTGGTAAACTTATTTCTTATGATGACTTGAAAAAAATAATTTAATTAGAAGGACAAGATTTTTGGAAATACTTACAATTCAGACACTGTTTTAAAACAAAGGTCCCCAAGGTACAAAATAAGAGTATGTTGGAAACATTTTTCTAACTCCCAAAACGGCTTCAAATAGTATCACCGCTTTACAAATTTAGTTAAAAGATTAATGATAAAAACTGTGAAAATTTAAGACTGATTTGGCAAAAAAGATATTAGCAGTGATATAGATAAGGATACCTGGGATAGAATTCTTTCTTCTATATAGTTTCCACTATGAGAAGCAAGAGGTAAATGTACACAGTATAAGATACTTCATCGGTATATATTACACTCCAGTGCGACTTTTTAGAATGGGATGCTTAGATGATAATAAATGCTGGAAATGTAAGCAGGAGATTGGTACATACTTTAATGCATTATGGCAATGTACAAAGATTCAACCCTTTTGGGAATCTGTGTTAAGACATTTAGGTAGATGTTTGGGGTTTAATATCCCTCTCACCCAAGATATGCCTTTTGGGTCAGTGTATCTTTTGGTCATTGGATTTTCATTTTAGAAACGGATATTGAAAAACGAAAAATGGTGGAAAACGAAAAACCAAAATTCAAAAATAATTAGATTATCTTTTTTTTTTTTTTTGAATACCAAAAAATAAAAATCACCAGAAAACAAAAACGAATAAAGACTTGTTTTTATATGCTGAAACCAGATAGGCTGACTCATTGGTTTTCGTTTTTCACTATGAAAACGAAAAACGAGCCATTTTTTTCAAAAAAAAAAAAAAAAAGATAATCTAATTATTTTTGAATTTTGTTTTTTCGTTTTCCACCATTTTTTGTTTTTCAATATCCGTTTCTTAAATGAAAATCCAATGACCAAAAGATACACTAGCCCTTTTGGGTGACAAAACTGAGGGGCTACTCACACTATGCCATCCGTACCGTGCCCAGGCCCGTTTCCCGGATCGTTTGAGAAGTGTGTGCGCGCTGAGTTAAGCTCAAGCACGGTTCACTTGGCCGGCCCTGGCCCGGTTGGAAGAGGTAGGCCTGAGCGCGGTTCACTTGGGCTTTGGCGCGGTACGCTTGTGTGTGAGTGCAAAACGCGCCAAAGCCCGAAACTGAAAGCGAGACGTGACTTTTAAGGGACTGTTTCATATGGATTTATTAATCATTCTTACTGTTCAGTGAACGCAAACTGCCGTAGTTTATTAAAGACGCAAACTCCTCACTGCACCACAGCTGCACCTTCAGCAGACCTCCTCATTCCTGCAGCACGAGAGCTTTATGATTGTTTATGAGCGGCAAAAGTGGCGGATCTGTTTGGCGAAATATCTGACTGCATGTCCCCGCATCCTTAAGGACTGTTTAGTGAAATATTTGACGGCATATCAAACCACTGAAACGATATAACTAAAGAAATCTCCACTGTGCTGCTGAGAGAGAGAGAGCTTCTCACTGAACAGTGCAGCAGCGATGACGTAAGCGTGCCGAAGCCCGATTGTGGTGTGAGTGCGGGCCGTCGGGGGAGACGGGAGGGGGGACAAGCGTGCTTTGGCCCGGTTCGAGGCAACTGTACCTAGTGTGAGTACAGCCTGAGGTTCCACATGTTACAAATGATAAGTTCACCCTTATAATTGTGGACATTACTACAGCAGCACGTATAATGCTAAGGTTCTGGAAATATATTCAATGCCCTCCACTCAAAATATGAATGAAATCCATGATTGAGAATGTATCATATAAGAGAATGTTGGCCAAAATGAATAGTGATTACAAGGAAATAGGTATGTGGGAGATTTTCATTACCTCACTTGAAATGTGAATGCATCTATCCTGTATCAAGCTCTGTACTATTATTTTTAGTATTTCTATACTTTTGTTACTGGTTATCAAATTATTTATTTTTTAAATAGATGAACAAGTTTATAAATTGTGAAGAACTTGTATACATTTGATATATTTGTATGGTACTGTATGTTATATCAAGAAAAAAAACTAATAAAAATTGCATTAAAAAAATAAAAATAAAAAACACACAAACTACTAAATATCTTTAAAATGACAGCTTAAGTAATTAAATAATAATTAAATCTATTAGCAAAATCTCGATGACAGAAATATTAATACTTTTAACTCTTTCTTAGTTACTTTGACCTGAAACGTGCTCATTCTAAATCCAGCACCGCTCATGAAAACTGACTGGACTTAGGCTGCTTTCACACCTGTGAATCGATTCAGTTGTTCCGAAACAGAGATTACAATTGTTACAGTGTTGCTCTTTGCTCTTGGAGCGGTTCACTTTCACACTGCAAAGTTTCTAATTGGACCAAAAGAGCTAAAACAAGTCACGTGTGAGTAAACTCTCCTCACATTGGTCAGAGTGTCAGGGTTTAATTTGCAGCGTCCCGCTCAGCTGTCAGGAGAGGTGGTGGTTTGATGGTGATTGACAGGGTGCGCGAGCGCGATGTGTCTGAGGAGAGATGCGGTAGAGATGTCCATTCTCGTTTGCGGGCATCCGGAGACTCGCGAAACTTCCCGCCAATACTCATAATTCTCTCTTCATATAGCCTAAGCCTATTACATATCCATAAAACACTGTGATATAACCGCGCTCGGATCGGATCGCTTTCTCACTGCAATCGAACCGCTCCAGTGTTCGTTTCAATCGAGCCGAGACCACCTCATTCAAGCGATCTCGGAGCGATTACTTTGGCGCGGAACAGAGCGCGATTGCCCTGTTCACACATGCCAAACGAACCGCGCTAACCTGGCAAACGAGATACGTTCCGAAACAAAAGTGTTGGTGTGAAAGCACCCTTATTAATGTCTACATACTGTGTAACACTTCATTTTGTATCTCCAATGTATCTCCATGTTTGTTGTAAATAAAACTAATAAAACCTTAAAATAAAACTATAAAAAAATAAATAATTAATAATTCTGTATGACGAAATCTACAGACATAAACTAGAATAAAACTGAAAAAAAAAAACAGAAATTATATGAAAATGAAAAGAATAATAAATGAGAGTCGTAACTATTGCTGTGTCCAGGCATTTGTTTGTTTCATGGAAAGGTTGTTTATTCAAGTTTGACTAATCAGAAGAGGCTGTACTATCTTTAGCCACGTCTCCACATTGGGTGCTGTTCTGCTATTGGCTAGAGAGATGAAAATAGGGCTGAAAATAAACACCAATGCCTGGAGTCGAGATGAGAGACATATAATATTTATTTAAATAATAATATATAAAATTAGTATTAATAATATGTGTGTGTGTGTGTGTGTGTGTGTGTGTGTGTGTGTGTGTGTGTGTGTGTGTGTGTGTATATGTGTATGGGTGTTTCCCAGTACTAGGTTGCAGCTGAAAGAGCGTCCGCTGAGTAAAACATATGCTGAATAAGTTGGCGGTTCATTCCGCTGTGGTGACCCCTGATGAATAAAGGGACTAAGCCGAAGTATAATGAATGAATGAATGAATATTAATAATATATAATAACAGCCAATCAGAATCAGTATATCTGAATATTGGTTTTCAGTCATTCATAGTGTTTTAAAGTCTTGAAAATGTTTGCAGTTTGATGTTTTGCCTGAATTAGATGTAAATCTTTTAGAAAAACATCCCACATATGTTAGTATGATCACTAATAAATTTATGATTTGAAGAAAAACAGCCTAATAAAAAAAGTTAGACCACAAAAACTCATTATGGCAATGTTTACCAATATCACATAATTTTCCAGTATCTCGCAGCACTAATATAAGCCATTTTATTTATTTCTCTGCACAGATATATAATGATGATTTTAAATAATGTTTAAACGAAAAGAAAAAAAAAACAATTCTGAAGTAATATCATGAACACTTTTGTCATGCTTTACTCTAAAAATCTGAATTTGCATCAGAATGTATTGCTACTCAACACATCGCAATAAAAAAACTACTGTCATGAATTCAGTATGGAAAAAGAGCAGCATGAACATTTGGCTAAACATCTTTTTTGTGTTTAAAAGAAGAAAAAAAATTAAACACTTTAATTTAGGTCACAATACACACATTAACTAACACTAATAACTGAATAAATTGCCAATTAGCAGCAGATTAGTTGTACGTAAGGTTGTGTTTAGGTTGAATTAGGGATGCAGATTAAGATCATACTTTATAACTACTAAAGAACAGTTCATATCATAGAGCTAATAAGCCAGTATTTAATAGAATGAATTATGAGCTAAATTAAGTGTTATGAAAAAATGATTTCTGTCAGGTTTACATTGGTGTGATGATGATTATTGTTGTGTTTTATGACCTCTTCATCTGCATGTGTCTCTGCTGAATGAAGTTTGCTCCTGGATGAACTTCTGGACCGTTTCGCACCAGTTTCCTCATCAGCTCAATGTTGGCTTTATTCACCTGAAGAACAAAAATACAATAAAAGTCTTCATATGACATGACAGATAACAGACATGTCAATCATCCACACTATAATACATTATGGCAAAGGTTTTGAACATCCTGAAACTGCATGCAGAGGTAAAGCATGGACAAATATTTACGGTCACTCTGGAAAAAAAAAGTTTTAGTTTTAAACATAATTTAACACTTTCTTTTAATTTAATTAATTTTGATGAGACTATTTTTAGAATATTTATATTCAATATAAATAGTGAATTTATTTTACAAAACAGCAATTTAATATTTCAATAAATATAAAAAAAACATTTGTTTTAATTAAAGCATTTAAAAATATTTTAATAAACATGTTTTTCATATTTAATTCTTATTTTTTAATTGCTATGTGAAAGTAAATTTCTCATATTCATTTTGATTTGATTAATCTAAACTAAAAACTAAAATACAAGCCAAAAACTAAAAAATTCAAACTTATTGGTAAAAGTATCAACGATATTAATATTATAATATTGTCAACACGTCTAAATCCACAGACATTAAAAACTAAAATAAAACACACATGAATAACTTAAAAATTACAGATTAAATAATGAAATATTAAATCCTAATTCAATCTATTAATAAAATCTCAACAACAGTAATATTAATACTTCTGCATGACTAAATCCACAGACATAAAAACAAAGCTAAAACTAGAAAACACACAAATTACATTAAAATACAATTATAAATGAAAGTTGTATCTATTAGTAAAATCTTAAATACAGAAATATTGACAACACGTCTAAACTCACAGGTATTCAAAACTGAAATAAAACACACACAAATAAAATCCAAGCTTAAATCAGGGGTGCCCAAACCTTTTCGTATGAAGGGTCAAAAGTATGTCGAAGTTAAATATACCAATCTAGAAAATATTACTTTAAATTTTAATATCTAATGCATAATAACTTTTTAAATGATAACTTACTGCAATTAAAACAATCACATTTACAACACAGTGGAGTTCAATTCAGAATACACAAGCAGAATCTGTCTTTGACTGGATTTGCTCACCAAAGTCTCTGTCGGGTGACAGTGTGTACATTTAAACAAAATCTGATTAATTTACACCATTTAATTACAGTTTTTATTGACAAAACAAACAAACAAAGGGTTTCATTAAATTTGAATTGACAATCTCGAAACCATACCAATCATTCTCTCTCTCTTCTCAGATGGGATGGCGGGCCAAATCAAAGGTTACCATGGGCTAACTTTGGCCCGTGGGCCCTAGTTTGGCCATCTCTGGTTTAAATAATGAAATAATAATTAAATGAAAAAAACTATTAGCAAAATCTCAACGACAGAAATATTCATCCCTCAAAATAAGTAAATCCAGCCATGAAAAAAAATAAACTAGCACACAAATTACATTAAAATTCAAATAAAAACTTATAGAGATAATAAATAAATTCAAAATATTGGTCAAATCTCAACGACAGAATTATTAATACTTCTGAAAGTCTAAATCCAGGCCTTAAAAAAAAAACACACAAACAAAATCACTTTATGATGAAAATAAAACCTTAATTAAATAATAAGTGAACATTCAAACTATCAGCTAAATCTCACCAGCAGCTAAATTAATTAAAATGCATGGGTTCGATACTGAAGGAATGGGCAGGAGATGGAAAAATTTAATGCAGAATTTGTAAGCAGCATGAAAAGCATGTGATGACTGGATAAAAGCCCCGTGATTTAAGGCACGTTAGTGCACTAACATCACTCTGACCTTCTCTGGATAGGTGAGGATTTTGGCGACATGAACAGGAACTGCGACTTCATCAATCCGCAGGTTGGGGTCTGGAGAAATGACTGTTCTGCCGGAGAAATCCACTCTCTTTCCGGACAGGTTTCCACGAAAGCGCCCTGAAAACAGCAAGAGTGACGTGACACCGTAAGGGCTCGTTCACACAGAATGCATCTCTGCTATTAAAAAGGCTTAATCTGGCCGCTCAGGAATGGGTTAAAAAAGTGCATCATAGCATGAAGTCTATAAGACGATGGACCCGATGTTGAATAAGTCGGAAATGTACATTCAGCATTTTTAAATAACCACAGTTAGCTTAATTACTTAGTAAATAATTGCAACAGGTGTAAACACAGCCATTTCCGCAGAGCCTGATGGGGCTTTACCTTGTTTGCCCTTGAGTCTTTGCACAAAGCCGCGAGTCCATTTTTTGGGGGCCATGTTGAGCGGGATGCCGGACAGTTCACTGTTGATGTAGAGCGCACACTGGAGCTGCAGAAAGTCCCAATCCTCCATGATCATCTGTGTTTTAGCTCCTGTCATGCGGTGCTGTGGGGGAACAATCATTACACATTTACACACACACACATATATATGAACATTATATATGCACAAGCACATTCAACAAGCGCATTTATAATCGGACTGAAACGTTTTGAAAAGATTTTTGATCATGTGACCTGTACTAACAAGTCTGACCATGTGAACTTAGCTAATGAGTCTGATCATGTGACCTGCGCACCTTCTTGATGACATCATTGAGGAAGATGATCTCGGTCAGCTTCATGGTCAAGTCGTCCTCATTGGTGCCTGATTTGAGGTCGCTGACGACGGAAGGACGGATGCAGAGCGGCGGCACCAGCAGGCGGGTCAGGATCAGGTCGGCCGGTTTCCCGGATTCGGGATTCATCAGCAGAAGAGGAACGTCCTTATCGGGGATCCTGCGGAAGAGATTCAGCACCACCAGCGGATTCAGGTTTTCCTGGAGATCAAAACACAGCAGAGTCTGCATGAACAACCACTATAGTTATGTTTAACCCATTATTTTAAATGTCAACAACCAGTTTTTGAGTTAACACTTTAAAATGATTTATTCAGGTACATACATACACACACACACACACACACACACACACACACACACACACACACACACAGCGTTGATGCTGACGCCCCGTGTGAATGGGGCATCAGTGTTATTGTACAAGCTTTTGTTCTGTTTTGGTACAAATTACAAATGGTGAAATAAAACTATAAATATGTTTATATATATATATATATATATATATATATATATATATATATATATATATATATATATATATATATATATATATATATATATATATATATATATATATATATATATATATATATATATATATATATATATATATATATATATATATATATATATATATATATATATATATATATATATATATATATATATATATATATATATATATATATATATATATATATATATATATATATATATATATATATATATATATATATATATAATATATATATATA